CAGTGGGAATTTACGTGAGGAAACAACCTTGACGCTCACTTTTTTGACTTTTTCAATTAAACACCACCATAATATGCTATCTTTTTGTCCGTCTGACTATTTAATCCAACAAAAATGTACCATTTATGTCTGAATAAAGGCTCTTCTGTGTGGTTAATAAAATAATTTTTTATATGCCCTCATGTTGATTTTCCAATAAAATCCACATATGAAAAAATACGCAAGGAAAAATGGCAAAAGTCTCTAAAAGTCACATTCTCAAGGAAGTTTAATGAACTCCTCAATTATATTATGGGAGATGTGATGATTGAAATGAAAAATGCAAGAGAGAAGTCATTGTAGTGTCATTTCTTTAAAACAACACACATTAACAACAACAACAACAACAACACCATCGCGGCCTCTCTTCCACGAGACATGAGAATTGCATTTTGAATCCAATGTGCAATCAAATATGCAGATTTAAGGTGATTTTTTCTGTCCTCCTCGCAGCGCCAAAGTGTAAAAGAGAGACCAAATGCGAGGATTAAAGTGGGTCACAAATGGGCAGCTGACGATTGGTGACTCTGGTCACTGATGAAGATATGTAACACCAGCCACCGCCATTATATACAAATACCCAAAATATTTTCATGACAAAATCTCTACTTTCACTATAGGCCACTCAAATGATTTCAGCAATAATCTCTGACTAATGCCACAGACATGTTCCATCTCGACATAATTTTCAGGCTTCACCAGCGACAAATTCCCACACACACGGGAAATTATCGAAATATATCCAAAATATTTCTGCATTAATCGGTGTTGATCTCCACTCTCTCGTCCCTCCTTCAAACTTGCCAATTATATTATCAAATCGTGCAGCGCCAGCCAAAGACTCTGTCTCTCCTCTCTTTTACTGTTAACAAGTGATTATGTTGCAATTAACGCGCTTCAAGATTGCTTGTATTTTAGGATGGAAAAAAAAATTGCAACACGTTTCGCAAGGATCGACAAACAAGTGATTTTCATAAAAATCAGTGAGAAAATACTTCGCAGAAGAGAAAATCCTTACCAACTCAATGCTGAGGCTAAGTTGTAAACATGCTTCTTGTTTGCAAGCTAAATTATTCAGCTCTGGAAAAGTTTTGCCTCCGTGCATATTCATTTTAACCACTTCAGCACCCAAATACTAAACATTGTAAAGTTTTAATGCGCACAAAATCAACCTTATTTGATATTGAAAAGACTTTAAAGGAAAGTTAATAATGAAATGATAAGATAGGCGATAGAAAACCGTTTTCTTTCATTCAGTATGAATTTTTCACTATGACGCGAGTTATTTGAAACAATAGAAGGGTCAAAATAACAGGTCATCCGCGGATATTTAGCAAATTAAATCCCCATTCTTTGTCATTTTCATAAGACCCCAGAAAATCCAGGTCGAAACGTGCCAAATGCCAACAAGTCATCCTTCCATGAAGGCATGCAGACAAATTTAAGCATTTTTATCAACTCTGTGTGGCCATTCAGATTGTGAATTGCATGGGAAATGTCTGCAGTGTTTCGCATTTTACATACGTCGAGCTCCAATAGTCGCTAATATTGCTCAATGGGTTGAGAGAAAAACAGAAAAGCGAGGGCCTTGACACAGAAATCGAGCCATTTCCTGCCCCGAAATAGAAGACACACTCGTCGTGGTGTCCCTCTTGAGTTCGTCCGAGAGATGCTCCTTGGCATCAAGCACTTCGGGCGAGGGAGGATTGGTTGCGTAACAGTTGCAGAAATATTGCCCAGCAGCTCAAAGCGAACACCTAATCGATATGACAAATAGCTCAGCGAGAAGTGAAATTAATCACTCTAGCTATTGTGCAAAATTAAGAGGCGTTGAATATCTTTTCGCACGTTGTTCAATGTGTCTCTTTCAAGTGTCGTCAATGTTCCTAACAGTAAGTTAATTTTGCTGAATCACAGCAAATGAAATTTGTCCGAAAATTTCACCAACAGAATTAGACAAAAACAGAGACAAACAATCATAAGTGAGCCGCAAATAATTGAATTGGTCTTTGATGCCCAAGTAAATAGAGTTGAATAAGTGTTATAACTGAAAACCGCTTTTAATTTTCAGTAACAATTTTATCTTTAGTGTGATTATCACACAACAAGTCAATGAGATCTTGATGAGATCAAAGGATTAACTTTACTCATCCAGATAAGATTGATTTCAACCTGGCAGATAAGCTAAAATCGTGAGAAATCTAGAATGCCAACTCTCTTGGGCTTTTATTTATAATAAACAAATGATTGCTCAATTATATAAACGCGAGAGATAAAGAGAAATTCAAGAAAGCCCCTGGTTGAGTCACTCAACACGAGAATCACACCAACTGTGTGGACCTCTGGCTTTGCCATTGTTGCAGTGAAGAAGGCAAAAGCAGAGAAAAAGAGTAAATGACTGTGCACCGCCCCAAAAGAGATTATGCAATCAAACGGCGAACCGCGGAGACTGAAGACAGTTTCGCGAAAAACGGGTGTTAGTGGCTATTTTTTCAGCCTGCGCCCAGAGATTTTGGAGCACTTCGAGAGGGAGATAATCTCATTAATTATTCATTGATCGGGCGAGAGAAGGTGAAAGAGTGACTATGAATGAACCGGTCACAAAATTTCTGATAATTTCCACTCTTCTCGCTCTCCCTCGTGCCATATTGAGTTATTCTTCGCTCTCTTTTCCTCACCGTCCCGTCCATTAATCTCCGGGAATTTCTCCATGGTGCCCAAATCGAATTCCACTCTTCGGGCATTCAAGCCATCGGATTGCCCATTCAATGTCCCCGGTTTGAGGTTATGGTCGTGTGAAAAACTGGGCGGCTTCCGCAAATTCTCGAAATACACCCACAATATCGCGGATTTCACATCTTATTGATGAACTGAGCGATAAAGTGGTAAATGAGACGATGACTTACCGGAATTTTGGCCAATTTCGGTGGATAAAACACTTTTTCATTCACAATTTTTCTCTGATTTCTGTTTCTTCAAGTATAGAAGCTTGACAATGCCAGAGCGAGACGACTATATGAAATAGTGGTGAATAAAAGTGGGGAAAAGTGTGGAGTTGCCGAAAGGTAGGCAAAATTGCGCCCTTGAAGATATTCAAAAATACACACAGAAAACTATTGAGAATTTATGTTCTTCTTTAACTTAGCGAAAACTACTGAAGAGACGATTTTTCAAAATAATTATTTATTTAATATCCTTCAAAGCATAATTCATTCTTAAAAGTACAATGAATAAAAATGAAAACAGATTCAAAAATTACCATTTACAGTTTTTTTTTTGCGATAATTAATCATACAATGAACACTTTTGTCTTATTATTTTACGATTTTCTCACAATTTTTTTCTCGTATTGCGACCAAAAGTATTTAAATATAAATATATGGTAATAAAAGAGATGAAAAGTCCGTAGCGTGCGATTTTTATGTGTTTTTCTCTCAAATGTTATGTACAAGCACGAATGAAATGTCCTTATAATTTACTGAAAAAAAGTAGAACGAACACATTGGAAGCAGTTTCTGTGCTGTGCTTCCTTGAAAAAGGACTCCAAAAGTCGCCTTCATTACATTTCTATAGAGATAAAAGACCCCTCAAATCCAATTCCTTACACTTATCAATAGTTTTACAAACTTGTTAGCCGAAAAATATCTCTTATCTCGCACTTAATCGTCACTGTTGAAAGAGTTAGACACAAAATTGTCATACAAATATTACCCAAAAAATAAAAATATCACTTTACATTCCTTATTTGTGTATATTTCAATTTTTTTTCCTCAACTTCATCTCCTCTTAAAAATACTTCATCCGTCTCATATATGTTTGATTTCATTGTTATTACACCTCTATATACCTATATATTTTCCATCTTCACTGTACAAAAAGGGATTACAAACTTGGGGAGTTAATCTGAGATTTTTTTTTCATAAATTTCCAACAATTTTCCTCCAATACAATTCATCTTCATTTGTAATGACTTTTTTATTTTAATCAAATTTCCCTTAATACAACCTTAATCAGTAAACAATTTTTTATTTATTTTTCATCTTACCACGTAAACTTAGAGTGAGACTGAATACAAAAAAAGAGAAAGAATTTTCAAAAAAAAAAAACATCACGTCACCAATCCGAAAAAGAAAATGTTAACGAAAAAAAATACTTCGAATATTACCAGAATTACTCGAATTATCATACAAAAAATATTATATTTAGCAAAAAGATTTGACTTAACCATCTAAACTTTACAGGAAGATCCTTGAAAATGCAAGAGAAAGATTAAGAAGTATAAATACACTCACGAGGATCCAATGCCAAAATATGTTTTCATCAAAAAAAAAAAAAAAATTGTCGAGTCTAGAAAATGATTGCAATTGCTTTCAGCTTAGAAGCTTAAAACGAAAATAAATTACCGCGAATAACCTCTCACAAACCATCCCATGACTAAGATTAATGCAATAAGAGACAAAAATGACTAATTGAGAAATACTTTAACAAAAATAATAATAAGAAATACCATTAGATGTGAGGAAGAGCGAGTGACTATTTACAATATCATTGAACAATTGCAAGAATATCAATTCAGTAAACATTTCCAAAAGATCTGTCCTGTATCAAAAAATATCTTACAACAATTTGCAATAGAATACCGCAAAATAGTGAATCTCGTTGAGTGTATGAAGGAAAGAAGAAAAAGTACCTTTGCTTATAGAATAAACATAATCAGTTAGAAACTATTATTAAATTTTATATTTCAATGTAACAATAAATAGATCTTTGATTAATAATACGCTCCTTTGTCCTACTCTTGTCCCTTCTCAATTTCCAACATTCAGCGTGTGTTTTTTTTTTCTTTTGTCAGTGTGTGTACATGTGTGATTTTTGCTCTTTTGGATGTTCATTTCCTTTGCTAGTGTGACTGCCCACATGGTACAATTAGTCGATGTTTCTTCTGCAGAAGCCCATTCTGCTATTTCACCTTCTTCACATCCCCATTCACGAGGCCGTTGTGATTCTGGTCGCCCGTGTGTCCATTGGTAACTCCACCGTTGGTGTAGCCGTTGCGATGGTGGAGGCCATTCATCGTGCTCTTGGCCAGCAATGCTTCTTCCTCGTCATTCAAGACGGGCTGTAAACAGAAATCCCGCAAAAAGTTTATCAAAGGAACACAAATTCCCATCCAAAATCCCAGCAAACACATCGAATGACGCGCATTAACACTTGATTTATGCAAAATGACCCGAAAAATTCTGCTGATTAATCATCCTCAGTCAATAAGTTCTCATTCACAGGCATTATAACACACTCTCCAAACTTCCACCTCTCCAAACAGCAAGAGAGGTATGCAAAGTTCAAGAATTACTCTTTTGGCAAAAATTCCCAGTCATGCTGAATAATTCAGCATTATATTGTCAAAACCAACCGAAAATTTTGACGCAATTCAAGATCCATTCTCAATCAACTCACCATACATGCACCCTGATTGCCACCACTGCCATTCGCCACTTTGCCATTCGTCGTGGCATGATCAGCAGAGTCACTGGCCGCCACCTTCCTCCTCCTCGACGATCGGTTGCTGTACTTGGCTTTGTAGAAGTCAGAGAAGAGGAACAAGAACATGACACCGTGCAGTCCGATCCACACCATGAATCCTTTTGGATAGTTGCAATCTCTGAACAGCAACTGGAACTGGTGGATGAAGATTGCCACAAATTGGACCTGCAGACACAAGAAGAAATGCCACTTAGTAAAATTCACCATGCATTGGCATAATGAGAAAGTCTTCTTACCATTTGGAATGTGGTGAGATACTTCTTCCACCAAATGTACTTCTGGTATTTTGGACCCATCGCCGCCACCATGTAGTAGAAATACATGACAATATGCACAAATGAGTTAAGCATTGCAAAGAATGTGCTATGGCCACCTGAAAAGGTAAAGAAAATATGTTATAATAGCAAGAACGGTATCAATTATTAATTAATAAATAATGACGTTAGAAACTATTCAATCTAGATCTAGAATAAAATATTCAATAATCGCAAATATTGACACAAATATGAATTAATAAATAACTTTGCCTCTACTGAATAATTCTGCTTTGATTTACTCCAATAAATAAATTATTCCACAACAATCCAAGCATTTCCTATGTTTATGCATAGTAGAAATTATTCAAAATTTACACCAAAATCGCAAAATTTAAATGACAGAGTAAATATGATAAATTAATTCATTGACTCGATTCATAAATTTCGCCAAAAATAAATCATTCAAACCATGGCAGACAGGAGGTTCAGTCAGAGGCCAAAATCATTATGGCCAAAGTCACACTGAATTGACCATTGTTCAACAAATAAAAATCATGTCAGGTGAAAATAAAGAAAAGCCTCATTACCTTTCAACTTCTCAAAAGATCATCGAGAAAAAGAGAATGAATCACCACGAATGCCAAAGGTAAGTGATCTCCCATGAAAGGCTGACCTCAAGATCAGCGGAAAAACACACTTAGGATGGAAATTTTAATATGATCAACCTTCGACAGCCATCGAGTAAGCAGAAAAATCGGTAGAATCCCCCCAACAGTGATCTAACTCTCATACTTCACCCGTTGAATCAATATTTAAATAAGACATTGAAATAAATTTCCCAGACAAGTCAGTAGGAAGTTTTGGCCAAGAATGCGAAAAGAGGATAAGAAAGAGCCAAAAAAAAAACTAAACATTTGTCAGTAAACAAAGTGAAACAAGGCAAAGAACAGTATCGAATTTCTCAGTGTGAGAAAGAAATTAAAAGTGTGATTAATGAATTATTAATGTGACGAGAAAAATCTCAGAGTAAATTCCTGCCACAATAGAAAAAGATTAATTAGAATTTAATTAGTCATGTTAAAATATAATATTCAATGCCAGATTACTGTTCGTCTCTACATAAACAAAACTGATACGGGGTCAATATATCGGAAAGTTCAGAAATTCTGTTGAAAAACGAGGTGGATTTTATGGTTAAAAAAAATTGCTGAAGGCCTGATTAATGAGTACACTGAGTGTAAAATTCTCATTTATATCGTACAAAAGAATTCCTCGATGAGAAATTGAATTATAATCAATATTTCTCGTGATGTTACATGAAAGTGAAATGTCGATGAATAATTTCTTTAAGAGTGCCGCACATCCAACAGGTTTTTTTCTTCTTCTTCTCCTTAACCTCTCGAATATCACGTGTGCAAGACGATTGTAATGCTTCGGCAAAGTGCAAAATCAACTCAAGTATCAGATCTCTTATTGAGTCATTTTCAGTTTAATCGAAAATGTATGATTAGTCTAGTAAATTGAAAGCCAATTTGCCAGAAGCACCATCTCTAATTGTTCTGCAACGTTCAGTTATAGACTTATCATATTTCTTTCATCAGCCGTGCGCGAAGCTCTCTCAGATATGTGCTCATCGGAGGAGCGCTAAAGAGTGCATTTTCACTCTCTTTCTCTCTGGCATCCACTCGAGAAAACTAGGAAATTGCATGGCTGAAGGCACAACTTTCAGCAGCCGATGCCGGCTGATATGTATTAGTTCACATCTAACAAGACACGTATAAACAGTATTTGTTGGCGAAATAAGTTCAATATGATATCATTATAAAGTGTACCAAAGATATTTAAACAAAAATATTATCTTTTTCAAGTCACAAAACATCGACTATTTGAAGATGTCCGCAAATTCATCATTACATATGTCTGCAAATTAGTAAACTGACCATATTCCCTTCGCATTCACTGTATGAAACTGAGCGCGACAAGTGAAAAGCAAAATTGCATATTATCCGCCCATGCAATTGCCTCTATATTCACCCATGCTCGCGTCTGCCCATCCCAATTGTGCTCTTTCGCCTCTCCCGCCGGACATGTCACTTGGCAAGCAAATGCCATCCACAGTGCTCCATTTTTTCTTTCACCCCACCATGATGAGAACATATCCAGGGAAATTGTGCTGAAAAAGCATTTAGAGAATCTCACCTGGTGCAAATTTCATTCCCATCCACACGGAGAAGGGCATGCAACCATGATGAATGACGTGAAGCGTTGAGACGTGTTCCATCTTCCCTCTCAGAATGAAGAAGAGTGTATCGAAGAATTCTGTAAATTTCGCTATGTAATACCACCAACACGTGTTTGCCATCTAGAAGAAGGATAGGCAAAAAAGGGAATGACGAAAACTCATATTTTTCCAATGTACAACACAGATGAAGGAATTCCATATAAAACAATAAGTGTGATCAATATAGTGAAATCTTTGACGCTACGTGACTTTTCACAAGAAATACATCAACAGGAAGTGATATTGCATATTCTTCAATATTCTACAATTCAAAATACAAAAATAGAAATTAATTTAAAATACTTTCGATACAGAATCACCCTGTGAAAGTCTGTCTATGAAATATTTATGCTTCTAACCAACTCATTTTAAGCGTATAAATCCGAAATGAAGACTTACAAGTTTTACAGAAAATGTCAATCAACCAACTTTACTTACACACTGTAAGAAATTTCCAACTGTATTTTGCTACTTAAGTAAATTTCTCTAGGAAATCATTTATACAAATATCCTTAAGGAATGTAAACTGACTAAAGTGAAATGGAAATTATGGAATTCCTCTCACTCTGGCAGACAAACAAATTCATTCATCCACTCACCCTCATCGCCATTGGGCTGCGAGTATAATCCACTGGTTGGCACTTAAAACTATAATGACCCCACCATCCACTTTGCAAATACTGCAAGAGAAAGAGAGAGAGAAGAGGAACAAAATTAGTTAAATTATATCATTGCAACAAATATGACATCTATCCTTCATGCCACCATTCTAGGTTAGAAGCAATTAAATAGTGCAGGTATGCACTATTTACAATTATCATGTTCTAAATAGGAAGTTAGTTGTGTATATTGACACATTGGATATTCTCGGTGATAATGTAAAGTTATACACTTGTTATATTTCCTTCTTCGTCTTTTTATCCTCACACATTTTAATAGATACTTATTCTAATTGAATTGTGACGCGCGGAAAGACAACCGCTGTGAAAATATATTCACAGAAAACTGGATATATCTCATCAGAAAAAACTATAAACTCACCTCATAGAAGATCCATGCACTAAATATTGTCTGAATAAAATTGTACACAACTAGAATATATCTAAGATTCATTGGTTTACGATTGGCCATAATTCGTGGTCCCAGCACTTTGCTGAAATATGCATAAAATAAGCATATCGCCATGGTAGGTATTGGGGATCCCATCAATGGCCAGTCTTGCACTCGTGGATCTGAAAAAAGAGAGTTAATTTTAATGGGGTTTCTAAGAACGTTTGGCAAGGTTTCAATGAAGCAATACAAGCTGCTAAGTGCTGGTGTTTTTTTTCGATAATTATCTCCCCACTTTTCGTTCGAATATTGCACATTTAAGAAACACAGTTCATGTTTTCCAGTTATAGTGCCACAAATTGACTTGATCAAGGTGTTTTCTCATTAAATTCATAAGTACATACGGTACATAATAATCAATAGAAAACCTAGAAAAATATACTTAATTTTCAACTTCCCAAAGTCAAATGGATTTTCCGAAATAGAAAAAAAAAACATCGAGATCAAGTCACTTTGCGTCAAAGCGGAAAATTTACCGTGAGATTTTTCCACCACTATCTCACTAGACAGTATGTCAAATGAACTGTATAGTCATCTCGGACCAGCCTTGAGTGGAAAAATACCTCTCTAAGCTGATTGACACAGCACTCTCATTGATAATAATTAAAATGGATGCATAAAAAGCATCGGTCAGACGACACAAACTGATTGCAATGCAGATTCTCTCCCCCCAGCAGACAAAGTGTATTTGACCCAATCAACTCACCACTTTTGCTATCCATGAGATCCCTATACCAGTCATACATGTCTGTGATGAGGTAAATCATTGTCCCGCGCGTCCGAAAGGGAGACTGTTCTCCGTGCAAGTCGATGGTGAACTGCTGGAGCAAATGAGGTCAACTATTTGTCTGAAAAAGGATAGAGAGAAAAAAAGAAGATTTGTAAGAATTTTTGAGTAAAAGTCCACACACACATAATTGCAAGAGAATGTATATGATTGTGTCAATTTTTTATGTGATTTCTTTATCGATAGAGCTCTCCTTATTTCACGCCCCCGTTGTGACCCCGCTTCCGCAGGTGAAATTCTCGCGCAATAGTGGACGGTTATTGAGTGTCAGTGCGCCACAGTCAGAATGATTACTTTCACACTTTGCCAAGCCACTGAATTGGAGAGACTGAAATTCTCTTTTATACTCTTCTGCCGATCCACCATTCCATCGAAAGTCCATCTATGTGAAATGGTATCAGAGAAAAAGAGGTGCACACATGTCGCGAATTACGACCACACATTTTCCACCTAGAGACACTTCCCTGGACAATGTTTTAAGGAGGAGAAGGAGTACCGAAGTGGCTTGAAAACTTGCCATCTCCACCAACGAAGAGATTATCCCAACAGCCGCCACTACACATTGCCATGTGTTGAGAGAATTTCCGGGAAATCAACAAGTGAACGAGTCATAAGTGCTCCTCATCTCTGTCTCTCTCTCTCTCTCTCTCTCATACACATCAACACCATGCATTACTCCATTAATGCACTTCATTGCAACTTTCAGCAATCGTATCACACCCCAGCTCAGTGTCTATATAAAACTCTCTTAAAATAAAAAACAAAACTCACTTAATCAATGACTTCTCGTGGTTTACTAATTGCAATTTCTCACACTCCATATTTAAAACTATGCGATATGCCCATTTACATATATAGTCATTTAACCAATTTCACTTTTATGAATAATTTTACATGTCTTTTACTCACTCGTCGTCGTCGTCTGAGATCACGCATCTCGCACTGCGTTTCTTCTCAACTCTCATCTCGACAGTCATTTCTCTCAGTGGAGCCGAGAAATATAGTCAACTGTTTGCATTTCTTTCGGTCTCGCATTTTGTCAATATCACAGACATTAATGCGCATTAACAGGAAATATTGGCTCAGGTAAGTTTTATTCAGTGAAATTGAAATAAATTCAATGTATATAATTGAGTGATTGTTGTGGTTTTTCATCAATAAAACGATTGCACAGCCATTCAAACTATGTTAAAAGTTTCCATTCATCGTCGTGCGGTTTGACCTACACTTGCAGCATATAAAACTCCTTTTATGACGCTTTGAATTCTCCACTGTAACTTCATCAGAACATTAGAAGAGAATTTATCACTTCGCCGTGCATTTCTTCACTTCTTCAAGTTAGTTTATTTATTTTGAAGTGAAATACGTCTTCCAGGTAACAATAAATTGCCGTCAAAAGACAATGTAACTGACCAAAGGTGGTAAAAAGTTAATGGTTTTCACATGAAAATCCAATAGACAACAGTGGAAAGATGTGCGCACTGTGCAATCTCCGTATTTATTATTATATTCACCGTCAATTTTAAATCAATAAAACACTTTCATGATTTTATTTTCTTTCCCCCATTCGAACCATTTATCAAAACACATATTTTATTCATATCACTGGCACAGACAAAAAGGAAGTATTGCAACCTTTATATAGCCTAATGACATTATGATGTCTCCTCTTCCTTTGTGACATTCCATAAAGATACATCCATGAGCCATCATTACAAAGGATATGAGATTACTTTCAGTACTCTACTGGTAATTGAGTACAAATTTCCTCTTCCTATCGAATTACACCTTCTCACAAAAGGACCTATTGATCCTCATGACGCGGAAAGTCTATCTAAATACACTTTTTCACCCATGATAAATGGATTCTCGACACTTTGTCACCCTAATATCCTGTTCAATGGTAAATAAATTCCACTAACATGTGTACAGAAAAAAAAGAGAGGCAAGGAAACTCACCCCCAAAAAAGGGTGTGCTAATTGAGGGATTGGCCTTCTTTTCTTAGCGCGTCAGGAGAGACACGAGTAGTCACTTATGGGACACTATCACGACTGGCCTGTGTTCATCAATTTGTCCGCCAGCCAGAGAAGAGGAAAGTAACTTGTTCCACTGACACACCACCGGCTAGTAATTCACATGACGAGAAGAATCAATTTTTATAAGCGTTTCGGTGTAAAAGTTTTCTCGGAAGAACAAACAAGAGATGATTACGTCAAAATATATACTAACACCTTAATCACATTTAATGCAACTGTGTAATATATATTGCCTTATTACAAGCGCCTCAGATGGAGAAAAACGCACACTACTCGCTTGGCTGATTAATCACAACTAAATATTTATTTATCGTGAAATTTCTCTTGTAGGATTGCGTTTTCAATTCTTTCGTTTTTTTTCCTTCTCTTTCCTGGACAACGCCACACATCTTATATAAAAATGCATTTGCAATTTATACCGCGCAATTTTCCTTCTTTATCCACTTCATCATTGCAATTTCAGACAATTTTTCTTCATGTCCATCCTTAGAGATAATTTATTGCAGTGATTTTTTTTCCCATATTAACTGGCAAAATTACTGAGTAACAATTCTTTTTTTCAATATCACATGACATGGAAAATGCCTTCATTATATCCACCCAAACAAGATGTGTTCACTTTTGTGGAAAGAAAAACATTGCAATCTACTGAAAATATAATTGAAACTCATCAAGATGTTTCATAATTGAAGCATAATATTTCGAGAATAAATTTTTCTCCTTACATAATCGCTTTTTCTCTTCCTTCTTTTTGGTGTTTTGACATTCTCATTACCCGCTTCTTCGTAGTAAATATTTTCCGATAAAACATAGTCGATATGCAAACGAAATTGCTTTTGAAACTCTCAAGTTTTCCCACCTAATTTATTATTCACTTCATTCTAGACTCGCTTCGATTGCACACTAACTCAAACATTCTTATCGCAATAATCAACAGGTTGCACTGCACTTCATTTCATACTCAATATTTATTAGGTCAGTTATATTGGAATTCGTGAATTCTGCATGACAAATTGAGACAGTTTCTAACAGTATTTTTTATTTTATCAGATTTATGATTACTTCACAAACCATAAAATATACCCATTAAAATGTTTAACTGTGATGATAAAACTTTCATATGTATCTTCCAAAGAATCACAGTCGATTATTGCGGAATTTTTGTCATAAAATTTTCAAAAAATGTATATAATCAGTATATAATACATATGCGATATATAGCAAGAATTTTCACGAGTCCACAACTATATGTGAAACCCTTAAATCTATTTGCATCTCTTTTTTGCGTCGATTTCGCTAAAATACTTGGCATTTTCTACCTATTTTCCACATCATCAACTCAATGGAAAAATGTAATTTGACTAATTTATTACCACTTTGGGCAGTTTCGCAATCATTTACATTCTTTTTTTTCTCCAACGAAACAATGCATGGATAATCAAACTACTCTGCAAGATATTTGCCTTGACCCTCTCTTTCTCTCTCTCTCTCTCTCTTTCAATTCCACTGAATGCCACCAACCTAAAGAGATCAAGTTGAAATTGGCATCGAAAATGATGGTATTTCCTTCAGACTTTGGCAACAATCATACAGACCACAACGACAACCACTATACTTTCCGATTCATCCGCGTTACTCACAGGTTGTTGTGTGCAGTGGAAAACAAAATAAGGTGTCCAAAATGAAAGTTGTCTGAATGGGCCAGTGAAAAAATACATATTTTTATACCACGCCAATACACAGAAGTCACATTTTTATTGAAGTTTGTCTTGTGTCTCGGAATTTCGGATGGTAAACTCTCAAGACCAATTTCATTAATACCTCGCTCCCTCTCCCAAAGCAATTGACCACATTTTTTTTCACTCTAGTGTGCGCGCGTCTCACACGCAGACAAGCAATTCCAATCAATTTCGACGACAAGATCACGTTTCTGTCTTTTCCCTGTTGGACACACACACCAGCTTGGACAAAAAAAACTTTCAAAATCATAGGAGAGATCATGAACTGTCCGCCCTTTGCCTCAATTACACTCAACGCGCGCATTCATGGCTTCTTTTCCACGGGGGAAGAAAAAAAACAACAGAATTGAAACAAAAGGTGTTACTGACATTGTCCTTCCCTCTCTTTCTATACATGTCAAAAAATTTCACAATGTAGGACCACGGTCTTGACGCTAATTTAAAAAGCGTGCAAAATCATTTTTTATCATCCACCAAAATTGCACTATGGCATAACCAATTAAACACAACAACACCATGTTACCTATTAATACGCATTCAAACATTTCGCAAGAATTATATTTCAACAAAAATTGCTGCCTAGATGAAAATCTCATCTCACTGTCTCTCAGTCTTCATTTTGAAAGTGACCTTCATTGAGATGCCTGGCGGTCATCAAATAAAAGCTCTTTGCGCACTTTTGTCAAGTGTGTGTTTTTGGTATTTAAGAGTTGCGTTCAAGAGACTTTTCTTCTTTACACACAAAACTCTGAAAAAAAATATAAGATATTCACGTAGTGTCTTCTGCGAGAAGGTCATCCCACTATAGTCAATGTTCCATTGTAACAACATCGTGGCAAAGGTAGAGTTCACTTTAAAAATTAATATCATAAACAATTGTGACAATGACACTTGATACCAAACATATATTCCAGCACGAACAGACTTTCAGGATATTTAGAAGGCATCAATTGTTCAAATTAATGTTTATTTATGTCGTTTAAAGGATAAAAACAATCTAAGGTCGAAAACCTTTGCCATGACATTCAGGAAACTATTCAATGAAATATAAACATCATGAAATATTTATTACACACGTTCCAGAGTTAATCTGAACAACACTATTAATCTTCTCAGAAAATATCTCAGTTTGAAATTTCACAAACATTCGCAGAATCGATTGAGCCATTAAGACAATTTGAATAGTGACGACACTCCTAGCATAAGAAAAAAGAATCTATTCAGAATGATAAATTGAAAGTAAAAGAAATTCGGAACCGAGAGAGACACTTTTAGACGACACCGT